AGAATCATAGAGTATTTAGGGTTGGAAAGGACCTTAAGATCATCCAATTCTAACCCCCCTGCCATGGGCAGGGACACCTCACACTAAACCATGTCACCCAAGGCTCTGTCCAACCTGGCCTTGAACACTGCCAGGGATGGAGCATTCACAGCTTCCCTGAGCAACCCATTCCAGTGCCTCACCATCCTCACAGGCAAGAACTTCTTCCTTATCTCTAACTTGAACTTCCCCTGTTTAAGTTTGAACCCATTACCCCTTGTCCTGTCACTACAGTCCCTAATGAACAGTCCCTCTTCAGCATCCTTAATGGGTTCCCCTTCCATGTAGTTTGTTCATATATTACTTTACAGCAAGACGGACTAACATTTATCTTGCTTTCAGAAACCTTGGCTTGACAAAATATTTGGGTGGATTTTTTCATTTTAAAGAATTTTTCTTTCCTTTAAAGATGAATTATTTAAAATGAAATGCTCATGCTGACAACCTATGTTAAGACCAGAACCTATCAATAAAACTGCTGCACAGAAACAGTGTTATACCCATCATGTGTACATTGCTTACAGTCCAGTGCAAGCTATGGTAAGTTAATTCCTGGCAAGAATCACTGCAATAAATAATTGGATTTGTTGATAGTGAAGCAAGACTAAATTGCTCAATCCTCTGCTCTAAATAGCTGACCACAGTTTTTATTAACAGTGTCTGTCAGATTAAAGCTAACCAATATAATTGCTAGGACATCGTTGCTGTCCTTTGAATCAAATGTAGGTCATTTCTTCAGACCTTGTTGTGTATGTGGTTTAGGTAACACTGGCTCTCTACAAAAATATCCCTCCTTCTCTACCACTGGTGGAAGTAATTTACAGTTACTCTTCTAATCATGGGAGATACATGATTTGAAACAGCATTCATGGATGCTACAGCCAAACTACCACCTTGTATACATGAGACCCCAGGGTGTCTACAACCATGCAGGACCACAGGGTGACTCAGCTTCACACTGCACCAACACGGTTCTGGAAAATGGCCTCCCTGAAAAATACCACTTTAATATCAAATTCCTCCACAGGGAGCCAAAATACTGTGTGCAAATAGTTGGTTCTGGAGAGGTATGCTCTGGGTGACATTCAGATATTAAATAGCAGAAGTGATAATGGTGGAGAAGGTGTCCTAGAAGTGTATTTATAGGACAGTTCTTGTTGATTTTCTTGGATTTGATAATGAAATGATAAACAGAGAGATCATAATGCATGATTTCAGACAGCTCTTATGCAGTGTCCTTTAGTGCCCCGGTTTTCACCCTTCAAAAGTTTTAAGTTTAACTTCTCTTTTAAAAAGCCTGCTGTACACCTGCTTTCTTTGGAAAGGCCAGAGTCCATGAATAGATTTATCATATATAATAAAAGCAAGGGTCTGTGGCTACTACCTACCATGTTCATTCTGACTGTGTAAAACTGAAGGTCACCAAATTGAAGTTTCAACGTTTTTATTCAAAGCAGCTTCTCACAATGTATAAATACTGCATATTAACACACATGAAAAATACAACTTCTAAGGCACCCAGAAATGTGTCCATACACTAGTTAACAGGACCATCAACAAATAAATTGTGTACAATTTGATCTAGACAGTCAATATTCCATATATCTGAAGATACAAGTCCCTCAGTACTGTACCAGTTTCAGAAAATATTTACAACACCATGACATAGGGGTGCCTGTACCCTTATAATATTATAATATGTACTCGTTACAAGTATCAGAAACTGTTTTAGTCTGCTCCATGGCATTTTGACAAAATAACTCAAGGGGCTAATTTGCAAAGTTCTACGATTAATTCTTTGTGCAAGTTCTGAAAATAAAGTTACATTGACACAATTTGTGAATTTTTGGTTCTTTGCTTCTTCTCTCAGGTTTGGTAATAAGCCTTACCAATAGACATGCCATCCTAGCTGAATGTCACTCCTTTCCCTATAGGTCTGTGGATACATCTTTCCCCCTTATGCTTGACATGGATGATAATGCGGTGTTTGTAGCAGAAAGAGACTGATCTTCAGTATAAATGTCAAACCAGTTCACTGGTGAAGGAACTAATGCTTTGTTAAAATAATGCAATTCTTTGGTCCTTTGTTTTTATGGAAGGCATAACATTTTTATTCACTAAAAATTGAAATCCTGTCTGTGAGTAAGCAAGCTAGTGAATGACTTTCAGTGTAGTATTTAAAGTAGCAGTAAAGAGATTTAATATGGCTTAAAACATACGGTTAACTGGGAGAACATAGATAACACATCCAGGATACCGAGTACCCAAATGTACTATAAGATTGTCTATAAGTCTCTTATGTAAACTTCTTTAGTGTCTCCTAAAGAGCGCTGGCTTTAGCCAGATTTGACTTTTATAGACCCAGCCACACAAAGCCTGAGATAAACTACTGCGGCTGGGAGCACAAATGCAGGGTTTATATATAACAAAGCCCATGCTGACAAACCTACCTATGTTGTTCAAAACCAACCCGTATTACCCTTTTCACAGGAAAAACTTAAGGCCCTGTACTCTAATTTGCTAACTTTCTTACAGCAACTATTTGGGGAAGTCCTACATCATAAGCGATTTATGTAGCTTTAAAGATTTCTTGTGCCTAATGGTAAGGCTTATTCACAAATGCAATAAAACTACATTTTAAAATTGTAAAGGCTGGCAAAATAATAAAAAAACCCAAACTGGAACAAAATAAAACAAACCCCAGCCAAAACTGTCTGTTTATCCCTACCATTAAAAGAGCATTTTATTCTAATGTAAAACTATTGGCACAAAACCATTATATTAGAGAGTAAAAGAACAGTTAATAGTAGTGAAAAAGATTGCCTAAAACGCATACCCTAACCTACCACAGAAATATAAAAGTTTATATTCTGAAAATATATACTGTATTAAAGTTTGTAAGCTTATTCATTTAAACAGGAACGTAATGAAATAGTAATCTAAGCAACACTTATCTACAGCAAAAATATACATGCAGGACAACACAAAATAAATTGCTTACCTTTAATATCTACAAATGCAAAACTGTAGATTTTTAAAGATTTTACAAAACAATTTACACAAGTAAAATAACATACTTAACAACAAACTGCATTTATAATCTTAAATACTGTGAATATTAGTAAAGGTACCCAGACTAATATGTACAGTACATCTAGGTATCTGAATACCTAGTAAGGACAGAAACACCAGAGAAAATTGATTTCTGATCTTTAAAACTGGAAAAGAATCTTTTAACATTGTTATTACTCTTTTTGGAAGGGAAAACAGAGTCCATGAAAACTAGACTGTAACTGTATAGATACGAACAATTAGAAATGTTAACTATGGTTAGCACTTGCTTTAATGGAAAAATAATTATAGAAAAATGCATTTCAACCATTCCTTTGTCATAAAAAATGCTAAGATGCTAAGATATAGATATCTGAAAATTCATATGAAATGATGCAGTTTAAAGGTCTTAACAACTTACAATTCTTCTCTGAAAATCTCATCTGGAAAGCATACCTTCACATTGCTGAACAGTTTCTCTATCTGTCTGCAAAACCCAACCACAGTATTAAAATAAACTTCCTAATGTCTTACTAGCACATGACTAGGAGTTATGGCTCTCTGAATAGGCATAAAGGAAATGAAGGAAACTGAGGAATCATGGTACTTTCCATTGCTTTTTTTCTTTTTCTGAAGTCATATGCTGGACTGCGTGAGCACATGTTCTGCATGTGAGTGGTTTCCATTTGAGTAACCCCTCTTGTTAAATGCCATCCAGGTGACTCACATGTGCACGGCAGCAGAGCAGGGGATCCCACATCCCTGACTCAGCTACGTCCCTGCACTATGAGGCCTTGCTGGCAGGTTGTGGAAATAAGCAAGTATTAGTCTAGAACAAGTGCTGCATCCATCACTTCCAACAGTTACTGAAAGAGTTGAGTTTCATATGCTTAGAAGTTACTTGTTCTGGTATTTTTTTTAAATCTTTTTTTTTTGTGAAAACCACTGAATGAGTTTCTGGCTAATTAGAAGCCAGATTTTGTCTTTTTAGTTAAGAATTTCCATGAGAATTTCTGCTCTTAAACTGCTGATTTCCTTAAAATTCAGTGGTACAGCTAGGTTGTAGATACAGTATTTCGAATTACTGAGAAAAAAGAATGTTATATTAATGTGTTGAAGGTTACTGTGTACTTTAATCACCTTTAACTTTACAGAGGCTTTGTTGAAACTCGTCATGGAAATACCAGGAGGGAGAAAACCTAGCAGCTTCATTTGCAGAGGTTTAAACCATTAGCAAGTAACTGAGCTGAACAATAGCAAGTAAGTGCACAAATCACAAATCAAACAAATGTGCAAAGCTTCTGCTTCAAAAAGCGCTGGTTTGGGCACACTGCAATGGCAGGGGGAGTCACAGAGCATGCTTGAGTTAGTTCCATATTAATTGCTTCACTAACAAGACTAACAAGAACTTGGAGATCCAGTGTTCAGGAGTCAATCAGTGTCACTGAAAAGTACTAGGATCACATTCTAAAATAGCAGATTGGGTTTTTGTCGTTTACTGTCGTTTTATGGATAGCCTTAAGTTCTTGTACCAGATGGTGGGGTGGCCAGATGTGGAGAGCAAAACGAAACTGCTCCCTCCATTTAGTTCAATACCTAGCACCTTGTATAAACTGCTGGCCTGCACCCAAAGGCCTCCAGAGCAGGAATTATCTCACACCTGAGGAATCAGGCATTAGACTAAGGCTCGTAAGGAGTTGCTTTTAGACTTCAGACCAAAAGGGGATGTTTAACCTGAAAAACAGTACAACGCCACATAACGGCACAACTCAGCCTGTCACTGATACCCGGCTAACAGCAGTATAGTCAACTTAAATAAAGCATCTCCTTGGCAAGCCCTTCAGTGCCCCTCAAGAAGGCAGAAAGTGAAGAGAGACTTAAGGGAGACTCGCTTCAGAACCCCTTTTTTCCCCCCCTAACCCTTGCAAATGATATATTCCATACATTTTTTTGTACAATTTTAAACACAGAGGAGCATGCACGTGGCTGTTTCTTTCACTGCACGCAGCATCCTGCGTGTTTCCGGTATAGTATTTATTTTTCTACACAATTTGCTGCTGCAATTGTGTTTGCATTCCCATGTGATGCCATTAATTCAGTCAAGGGTAGTATGAAAAATCAGACCTGTGACCAATAAACAGCTGAACACGAACACAAAATAAATAAGTTAAATAAATTCAACAAAGAAAAAAATCCTAGTAGTTTTTGTAAAACTAACTTTACATATTATACATATAAATTATCAAACTTTTCCATTACACTGTTAGGAAAAATGAAAAAAAATCAAGGTATTTCTAAAGCATGGTGTTTGGGTCTACAAAATATTGTGCTGCCCAGTTTTTATATTGAGCCCTCTGTATCAGCCCAGATGTGCGGCAACAGCAAGAATAAGTTAAGAAGGATAGACAAAATAAATCATTACAGATGGTGTGCCTTACTGGGCCTCAATGGTGCTTCTCAGCACATGGAATGTATACTTTTACCTGGATGAGCAATGTGAAAGATGCAGCCCTCTGTTGAGATTATGTGCACTGAACAAGCCTGCCTACGTCTCGCTTACACAAAATCAGACCAGCTACAAGCAGCTGTGTATCTCACAAGGAAATCAACACAACCATATGTATTAGGATACACTGTCACAAATTCCTCATTGATGCATTGCCTCTGCTTTTCAAACACAGGTAACATTTGACTTGGTTCACAACTGGGGCATTTTCTAAGTTAAGCCAAGACATCAGGCTTCATATATGTTGTCTTGCAGGTAGCTGAATAATGCATCCAGTGCTTTAGAAGAATTCCACAGCTGTTTTAACATCTGACACTCTTTCTCATTCACATCTTCAAGTCCAGATTTCAGGGAGCTCCGCACAAGACATTTGGACTCTTCCAATACCTAAAGCCAAAATATCACTCAGTATCTCATTTTGCATCTGCTAAAATTATTACAGATAATGGTGTGAAAAGAATTTTTACACTACTGACTCTGTTTTACAATTTAAATAACTCCGTTGGGCACAGAAACTAGATTTGATTTACAGCCATAACTCCACCTGCTGATAGTCAGCATCTTGAAGAATTAAGGACTTTTGAAGTTTATGTGGTAGTGCCAACGTTTTAAAAAGGAATGAAGGATTCTGAATTGCTTTAGTTTACTGAAGCCATGAAGCACTAGACAGAGCTAAAAATGTTTCCCGTTGGAATGAAAATGTGAGGCATGATATACTGACTACCTGCTTTCTGGAAGGTAGTCTTTAAGGTTACAGAGGTTGGAAACCCTGGTGTGGATATCCATCACCTTTAACAATTTTCCCTCATGCATCATTTCCTTATCAAAACACAGATGAACATGAAATGGCCTTTACTGCAAATACTGTTTATTTCCTAGACCCAATTTAAACACAGATTGCAGCCTTTAAAATCCTTTTTAAAATACGTAACACAAGCATGTACCTCACAAGGAACCTGACTAGTCAAAACCCTTAGTAACTCCTGTATTGCTGCTCTTTTGAGGGTAGAAGATTTCATGTGAACTAACGCAGTGTTTATGGTAAGGGAGATGCACACTCTCCACTGAGCTTTGTCAATACTTACATGCTAAGCCCAGTTCTTATTAAGTCTAGGTTACACACTGCTATTCCAAAGTAGTATTTCTCTTTAACTCAAGTAGATGGTGTTCATTGCAAATCCCAGGGCCTGTGTGTTCTTTTTGGTCTGCTTGTGAACAAGTATCCACAGTGAACTCGGATGAGCTCATCATATTCTTTGTTTTTGTGACTTCAGCCTGATTTGCATTTAGGATGTCAGAGAGTAAATCTTGTCTCTGACACTTCTAACTCTCATCTTTGTCCACAAGTTAGCACCAGTCTTTCTAACAGGTCTCAAGAGAAAATTCCTTTGACAGCCAGGAACAGTGAAGGAAAGAATAATTCACAGTGAAGCCCAGAGGTTTTCCCAACTCATATAATACGTTATATCAGCATGATCAAATAAGCTTATGCTACATTTGCAGAGTTTCATTCTGAATGTCTTTTCAGAAGATCTAATCTACACTTGATTTAATTAAAAATCTTGTGTCTCTACTTTCTCTTTTATGACAGATCTCTTAAATAAAGGGATGCTAAGAATTTCAGACATAAGAAGTATAGCATGAAATGACAACAGTGTGCACTTCTGCTGGAGCAGTTTTATTGCAGCCAGTATCACTTTCTTCACTCTGAGCATTGCTTTTTTTAAACAAGGATGTGTACAGAAGTGTATTTGCCTGAAGGGAAAATCCTTAGGAAGTAAAAATAGGAAAAGATTTTCTTTCAACTTCAATGTACACAAAAGGAAGTTATAATGTACTGTGACCAGACTGTGTTCAAAACTCTCTGTCTCTGGATCTCACCTCTCCTGCACAGCAGAGCTTAGCTGGCACTTTCCTACCCTTCTGGTGCCTTCTTCTGCACATTCTGCAGAACCAGGAACTACACAGGTGCAGAAAAAAAGGCAGATCCAGTCGAAATGTAGCAGACTAGGACACTGTGAAAGGCAAATCTATTTTCTTACTGTCCTTCCTTACTGGCCCTGCAGAGATCTCCCAGTCCAGTTGTATTGCTTCAGTCTCTTCCACCTTCATGAAAGAAACCTACGCTAATCCCCCTTAAAAATCTGGAGCAAGGAGGTTCCACTCATATTGAATAAATGTGAAGACAGGGAAAATAAATACCCCTCCTTGACCCTGAAAAACTAGAAACTCCATGAACTCAGAGATCCCTATTCAGATTGTCTGTTATCAGCCTTCTTTCACAGGTATGGCTGTAGAAACTGAGGACCCACCATGTGATAAGCCTCTGGAGCACACATTAGCTCTGTGAAATGTAGTTTAATCACAAAGGAGTTTGATTTCTTACCACTGCACTGCAGGATGCCATTTCTCTCACCCGCAGCATCACTTCTTGGCTAAATGTTGTTGGCCAAAATACTTGTGACACTAGTCCTCTGCTGCAGGCTTCCTGTGCTGTCAGCTTTCTCCCACAGAACAACATTTCATTGGCCTGTGAAACCAAAAGATTACATGTGATTGTGTGTTATCAGTCTCTCAAAGGTTTTTCCATACTTGCCTGCTATTTTCAGGATTAAATTTACAAATGGTCTCCTCTATCCTTCCATACTGCAAAACCCTTTAAAAGGAGTTTCGGTAGCTATTTAAGGATTGTGCAGGTGGCCAGAGCACAGCATGGGTTTCACTTAAGAGAAATGTGCTGGCATGCATGATGAATTTATACTGCTGATTCTACAAGAGTAACTGTCAGTGCTACTGTGCCAAGAGTCATGGATCCTAGTATATAATACTATGTGGGGGCAAATTCTGCTTTGTTATATTGGTAAAAACTAAGCAACCTTACTGTAATTACTATGGATTATCTTTAGAGAGCAAAAGGCAGTTTCTTGGTCTGTCACTGCACAATCCTACCATGGTACAGACAACGGCTCTGTAACACTACTCTGCTAATGCATTACTTCCCATTTCTACCATGACCTTGACAATCTTTGCTTTTTCAATCTGTGTTCAATCCTTCTTGTGCACAGCATGTGTAATACACTGAATTCTGAAGTCATTTTGTGGTAAGAAACGGGTAGGGATTAGATGAACTTTCCAGAGATTTCATTTCCACTCATGCCAATTAACAGGAACATTTGTTTTCTGTTTTAAGAGAGAAAGAAGAGCACGGATTTAAGAAGGAAGGGTTCCTCAGCAAACTGAGGTTGAAAACCTTACCAGTGCAACCCCCAGAATTTGTGGGAATGTGTATGATGAGCAGCCAGCTGGAGTGAGTCGGATTGTTGCATATGGTGTCTGAAACCACGCCTTCTCACTTGCCCAAACGATATCACATAGTGGTAAAATAGAAGCTCCTAACCCAAGAGCAGGGCCGTTGATAGCAACCACAATGGGCTTCTTAAACTGAATAAAAGCTTTTACAAAATCCCTAAAACAAAAAATAGAAGAAAGACCTTGAATACAAAAGTTAAGTCTCAGATAAACAGCCAAACTTAAAGTACTTAATCTGAAAGCAAATTAGAACCGCAGATGAACACAATAAATGACATGGCCCAGTTTTATGAGGTCAGAATTGCAAGCTACTTTCTAGTTTGCACATGGAAAAGTTTGCTTATGTTTAGTTATTTAATCTTTTGCGTACCTGGCGTATTAAATAATTTTGTGTATGTTGTATGTGAACTGATTAACTGGAACACGCTGACTTTCTGCAGAATGGTTTGGTCAGGTTTAGTTTTACTTCTGGAATAGTAATTCATGAGTTTGTACACAGAGTGCTTCTCAGTTTGCTCCACAATGGCTAGTATGGGTTCTGATGATCTGGTTTGACTAACCTGATGGACATATTATAGCATGAAAGAGAGAAACCTCATAGGTGTACCGATGAATATCCATTTTTTTCTAAGTTCTCTTGAGACCCTAGATCAGATGCTACTCCAAGTCCCATACATGGATTGGGAGATAGTAAACATTGCTGGCACACCAGCAGAAAGAACAAGACCCAAAAGGGGTGTCAGAGAGAGAGAAATGTCTGAACAGGAAAAAATCAGCCAAGTGATCTGTCGAGTCTTCGCTGCAAATGTCTTCAGCAAAGACGTAACAAAGCAGATGCCCTTGCTTGCACAACAGTAAATATGAAGCGATGGGAAATAATGGGAAACTAGATGTGATCGGATTCATCAGGACGAATGAACCAGAACATGTTAAATTCTGTGCAGTGAGGAGATATTTAAAATAAGCTACCTATCAGCAACAGTGGAAAAGATACCTGTTGAATGGAACAGCCTATACCCCAATTAGGAAAAAGCATGAGTGTAACTGAGCAAATTATGGGCTCCAGCAGCTCAGTGCACAGCAGGTACATGGAAGGAAACGAGATGCTCAATTACTTTAGAAAAGAGACATGTATAAATCAAATTTGAAACAAAAGAGGAGTCTGTTCCTGCCTGGTTCACACAAAGAGTGTACCTTTGCTGACAGATCTGAGGAAAGAACATTTTGTCAAATGTGCCCTTTCAATGGGTTGTGGTTCTGCCACTGAGGTCAAAAAGACCCAGTCTTCTGTTTCTCGGAGCAGAGGCTGTGCTTGGCAGGTCAGAGTGCCCATATGGCAAAAACCGGAAAAGATACCAAACAAAAATGTTTTATGGGACAAGGGCACTGCCTATATTTTAAATGAAAACAAAGAGCCTGAGGTAAGCCAGCATTACCTATTCAATGAATGAGTTCTGGTTTTCCAACTACTTAGTAAAGTGTTGATCTTTGACCATGGGAAAATAGATGATCGTGGGTTTGATGCAGCTCTCTACATACTGTCAGCAGTAAAACACAAGATAAGGAGCAAGATAAAGAGAGCGAAATAAGGAACTTATCTGGCCTCTGAAGACATGTCTTTCTAGAAGCAGGGTTACGAAGAGTCGTGGTTCATTTCTGTTTGCAGAAGCAATGCTGTTCCCTTATCTTGTTATTTCTTCAGTTGTTGACTGTGGATAACTGCACTTTAATTCCAGAATTCTGACAGCCTTAGTAAGTGAGCCTTCCAAGTAGGACTACAGATGGGTATAGGGATGTGATGAATGACTGGTAAAAAGAACCATGGATAAATGGTGGCAGCAGATCTGAGAACCATGTGAAGGCAGAAGAAAACGGTGTGATGGAGAAAAGCCGGAAGGATGTGTTGATAAATGGGCCTGAGAGTGAATATGGAAAAGCAATTAGGAATGTGCAGAGGAAGCAGTTAGATGATGGGAAGGAAGAACAAAGCAGAACATATTAGTGAAGAGTTGAAGGAAACGCGAAATCTTCATACGAATAAGCAAGGAAAGGAGTATCTGGAGATTCGGAGAGAGTGGAACCGAACACTGAGAAGACACAAGGAGCTTCCGTCATGAGGAAAGGATGGGAGCAGAGAGGATGGTACCAAGGATGGGTGTGGAAGATGCCACCTGTAGGATGGAGTCGAAGGCTATGATGTTGGGAACTTTTGAGGGGAACAACTCTATTTGGTCTACAGAAGCTGCAGCGAACAAAACTCCACTCAACCGTGTTCCCTGTTTGGTACGTTACCTATTTCAGTGAATTGTCTTCATACCCAGAACCTGGCATGTTTCCACATCTCCAAAACTGTAAGTTCACACCCTTAGTTTCTGGGCTAGAAGATCCTTGTTTTGATCCAATGTAGTCTTTCAGGAGCACTTAAGATTGTAACTGTTATTCCACAGTAGAAACAGAAGCTCAGACAAGAAAAAGTGTCACATGCAGAAGGCTTTTGATTTTGCTAGAGGATGTCTAGGAAGCTGACCATCAAATACACTTTGGGATGCTGCATGCGAGGGCTCGTAAGTATGTCAAAGGCTATAAAGAAGTCGAATAAGTGAAGTAATCCTTCTCTGTTTTCTTCTGAGCACACCCAGAATTTTATGTATCGGGTCACGTAAGAATGCCTGACTGACGATGCAAGACTGATGCTGGGAATGCCTTCCAATGGGGCTTTCTCCTGCCAGGCTCTGTAGGCTACATACATGCAGCAGTGCAGTCTGTCTGCGTCTTCTCTGCTTCTAGAGTGTAATGCCAGATACACATCTGGATGGTGGCAGCTTGGGCTGATGGATTTATGTTCGATACCTGAAGAGGAGCCACAGGGCCACACACAAGCCCCAAAGGCAGTGGATGAGGACAAGAGCCAAATGAACGAATCTTTTACATAAGATGAATACAGATGACAGGTATTTAAACTTCATTTTTGACTTGTGATCACTATATGAGATCCATACTTCAGAAAGTGGAAACATACAGTAATCAAGACTTTAACTTCATTTTGTTACAAGTCTAACTTGATGTACAGTAGTGGAGGCAGAGACCCATTAATATGTTTGAGGACATCCTAACCACTGAAAAGCAAAGTGTACATTTTTTTTCTACTCGTATTACAGTATATTTTCATTAGTTGAGTCCTTTGTTCACACAAAACACAGAGAGTGCTAAACGGAAAACGTAGTGTATTGTTTCCAGAAGTACAACAAAAATCTATTTCCAGTGGGCCTGAAGCCGATGTTCTTGACAAGGAGAAGCACATTGTATCAGTATTTCAAGGGTGTTCTGTGAGTCCAAGGGTAGAAAAAATGAGTATTATAGTCTATTTTATACTCGTATATATGTGGAAATTCTAAGTATAACTGTATATTAAATGTGTGTGGATTAATGTATACATAAATAACAATACCTATCTACATAACTTTTACATGAATATTATTAAATTTGTATCTTCTAATGCAGTGCAAGCATGTCTGTATTTTCAAAAAAAACAGTGATTTTCTTTCCTCACTTATTTTGGTTCCACATTACTTAAAATCCCTCACATGAAAGTAAAAAATAAATTAGGATATGTACTCCAAGAGGTTTTTCTTTTTTTAAACTATCTCTATATGATATTCAAGCATAGCTAGGCTTGTTATATTTAAGAAGTTAACTTTAAATTCTTTCAAAGTAATTACCACCTTCAGAATTTCAAAAGTATTAAACGGAATCCAAACGGTTCTACAGCAGTTTTAACCAAGATAATTGGTGATTAATAGATGTCATGTAATAACTAAACGTGATTTTATGTTATACTAACATATGGAAAAGACAGATCTGTTGTAAAACAAATTATTTAATATTGCTTCACAGACTTGTTGCATTAAGTTTTTAAGCTCTCAGGAGAGTAATATTTATTTGTAGAAAGTGGGGGGACAAAAATACGGACCAAGCCCTCTCCTGGTACAGACTGGTGAAATACCATTGGCTTTAATGGACTGATGTTGATTTATACTGGAAGACTGGGCAAATACGTATAAAAAAAACCTTGTGGATAATGGAAATTTTTGGTGATGTATTGTGCAGATTGATTTGTAGACTGCATGTCATAAGCCCTGGATTTCGATTAAGGTAATGTGATTTTTGTATCAGGAAAGTCACATTTTAGTTATGAAAATAAAACTACATTTGCATATATATTAAGTTATTTCAGTTTAAGAAAAAGAGTGGAGACCCTTCTAATAAGGTTCTAAAATACAGTGGCAGACTACTATTTCAACAGAATATGAGTAAGCCATGGAGTTCTTGTTTGTACTGAAATTCATTACAATGACGAACATCAAAATGAGTAAAGTATCTGCCTTTCAAGAACCACTTTAGAACATAAAGCAGTGACTGATTTGGATAAACAACAAAGTTGTATTTGAATTTGGAGGAATGATTTCAAATATTAAATACAGAGAATTGGGAAAAAAAGAAATCCCTGTGGATATCAGCACTGGAATGAATGTGCAATGTTTTCTAACATTGAGAAGGTCCAAGGTTCTTACTGAACAGATTTGTAGGCCTATAATTAGAATGCAATCGACAATTAAATATACAGCAGTTTTTGGACCTGATATATACCTTTATAATCACACACTGCATTTCATAATTTAGAGATCATAGGTAAGCTTGGGTCACCTTATAGCTTCTGCAATCCTAGTGCTTTCCTTTCTTCTGTCACTGGATAACCTGCCCATTAAATATGAGTAATCTAGGCCACTACAGAATACACTTCCCACTGCGCTGAGAAGTAAGAGTTTACTGTCATCAGCTGATGCATTGCACAATGCTCTCCGAACTTCCTTCATGATCTGTGGATAAAGAAAAGTAAACAATTCGACATGCATGCCGTTGCAATACCATTTCCCTAGTTTTACAAACCTTATCAACCTTGAGAGACTTAAATTTTGGGCACTATTAATACTTACATCAATTATATGTATATATTTATCTAATTTTAACATGCTTAGAATGAGAACACTGCGAGTTCACAAAATATTGTGTATTTGGAAGCGCTTTGTTGATGATTACTAATTCAAAAAGTTTTTAGGAGTTTGGTTGTTTTTTACTTTTTGCTATGGAAAATTCTAGCCAGCTTACGCTATCTGGTTGCAATTTCATAATTTCAAATATAACTTTTTTATTTTCGTGGTGTATATTCAGTGGATATATATATATTTCATTGCTGTATCTTCAGTAAAATGGGTATCACAACAGTAACCAATTATCCTCAACAAGCTGTGAGCAAAATCTATAAATGCCAGTTTTCAGTTCTTCAACTATTTCGGTTTATATGACTTGAACCAGAGTAAAGCAGGACAACAGGACACACACATTAACATGACAAACGTTCATTTTTCTGTGTTCAATGATATTGTTAAAGTCTATAAAAGTCAGAGCAAAAAAAGGCACTTAAAAGAGACATTTCTGCTCTGATTTACAACTGGACAAAGCTAATAGCTGCCCCATAAATCAAACCTAAAATCCAAACAGAACTGAACTGCTCATATTATAAGAAAATGGCCTTTTACTTTCTTACAATGAGAATTGTTTCCCTAATGATTTTTAGAAGGAAATATTATTTTAAAAACGTCTTGTTCAGTTACCATTCAGCATGGTTTTTCAGCTGTTACTGATTTCAGCTACTTCAGCTTCTGCTCTTCCCTTTAGTGATTTGTTCCTTACTTGAAGGGCCATGAGTTCATCAAGTATGATGCATCCTATGCTTAAACATACACGTGTTACAGTATTTCCTACACACAGGGTCCTGTTGAGTCAATTTTTTCTCTTTTGTACTGCAAGATTTGCTGTTAATTTAGGCAAACCCCAGCAAAATGTAGTTGGGGAATTAGATATGGTTTCCATGTGAGACAAACGGAAGATTTTAGGCTTGTTAGTATTTTTGTTCACTACTTTGTTTCCAAAAATTCTTTAGATCTCTGAAATGCTTTATTTAAGAAATGTCTCTAAACTTGTGAGTTTTGTTTACACAAAACCTGACAGTTTTTTAATTAGAAATCCTGTGGTTTGTGAGACCAGGCTTGAATCAGTATGTTCAAACCCCGCAGTGTAATGCTACCTGCCTGCTTTCCATATGCGTTTGCATAGTAATGATTGCTACTGGCTGCTGAAACCAGGACAGGAGAAAGCAGGTAGTGAACTTCTTGATGCTTCACTTTCATAAGTGCACTTCAGAATGCCTGTAATACTGAGTATGTGACAGTGGGTGGAAGTGAAGTAATTAAAAGCAGCAGAATTTGAAAGTGTATTTGAAATTCTTGTGCAGGTATGAAAATGTCATCAGTGATTTTACAAGTACTATGTATTCCCAGAGCCTCAGGGGCTGTATCAGCCCTAAGCTGGTAAAAAACCACAGCAAAACTGCACATTTTGTAAAGGGGAAACAGAGGAACCTAAAACCTCTGTTCAAAGTTAAAAACAAACTTGAAAAGGTGGTAGGTGTTAGAATACAAAAAGACATGTATTTTGATATTCCTAGTTCCATGTGAATGTAAGACTGTCCTCTTAGTTTATTTTAAATATTCTCAAAATATGCTCTTTCTTAGGGAGGGTGTATAAATAATACCAGGGAATACCAGTCAAACATTTTTATATATAATGAGAGTGTTGTTTTATTATTCAGCAATTTTCTTTACCATTCTCCTTCCTCCAGTGATACTTGCATTTGTACCATATCTTTGATGTTATCACTGCTATCTTTCAAACACATCATTACCATTCCAAACCTGTCTCTTTTATCTTGCCCCTCATTGATCTGGATGGTTAAAGCCATCTGAAAGTATACCAAACTTTCGAGCAAATCTGATACTACCTGCAGGAAAACCCAATATTGTGGTATCACTGTTCAGTGTTTTGGAGAGGGTGATATTAAAAGTCCATTATTAGGAACTGATTTCTCAGATATGGTGGAAAATAGGAATGTTTCAACAGCATTTTGGATAGTATGTTTGAGCAGCAGTGGAAATTCAGTTCCACTGCTCTAGTCATTTATAGCAAAAGTAAATAGTATCGAAACCGAGGAAACCATAACATATCAGTGTTTTCAAGCTCCAAAAATTATTTCTTTTAAATCTGTAAGTTTGTCACTAACTTTATAATCAAAAGGTGCTCAGAAACTCACTGGAATACACCAATGCCAGCAAAGTCAATCCTCGTTCCCTTGCCCTATGCCCAGTCCTTTGCTGGTGCAGTCCAAAATCCACCTTGTCACTCAGCCTGGCTCTAGCAAACCTCATTGTTGCTTCCCAATGCCTTGGCATCATGGCTTTCCTCATATATTATCTGGGTATGGGTATTTTGCCACAGATGTTTATATGATTATAGGAAAGTTACTAACAATAAAATAAACACAAAAAAGAAAGTTTGTCTATAGGGCTGTAGAACTGTGCATTAAACTGCAGTAAAGTAAATGTTTTTTTAAATCAGAACTACAGTCTGGTTTTCCATTTAATGATGTAGTTTTCCATTCAATGGTGTAGTGAATTCAGTTTGCAAATACAGAGATACTACATGTCAGATTACATTTTCCTTTCCTCTCTTCCATAGTCTTTAAACCTGCCCTTATTTTGGTATAACTATGGCATTTGTCCAATAAAATTTTACTTTTCCTATTGCACCATATCTAAAATGTGCAAGGATCCATAAGTAGTATTCTCCTATTCCATGTTTGTTTTTTTTTTTTATCAATTAGCTTTTTATGGTCTTTTATTTAATTTTCAGTTGTGGGAACAGTATTTCTATTTGAATACATTTGACAAAAATTTCTGAGGAAGTGCGTACTGATCAGTGTGGGCCAGTTATTTAGCTTGTGATAATCAACTGAATTGTAAATTTAGACCAGGCCTAATGATTCACATACTGTTTTACTGAAACCCAAATATATAATAAAATTATCACGTTCTCAAAAGTTGCTTACTTTTTGAATCCTGTCAAGGATTAAATCCTGGTTATTTCCTTAACAGGACACCTCATGTTGCAAAATAAACATAAAATGTGTGAAAACTTCATTAAACTTCTAAGAGCTTATTTTAATGCCTTTTACTGGATGCTGGAAATTTAAAAGGCATTTGTTGCTCTTTGCTTTCAATCTTGCTCGCATTCTGGGGAAACCCCAGAGCTGGGAATTTATCACCATGATTACACAAAGTCTCTTGAACACAAGTTTCCTGTTCATATAAACAGGAATACTGCTTTAAACATTTAATTTCTCTGAATCTCTAAGGATTCCCTGTTGATATTTGTAAAGGTAAATATTCTGTAAATACTGTAACAAACCAGAATTTTAAAGTAATTCAGTTATTCTTACAACCTCTTCCTCACTTGTACCTTTCTACATAGATAACTTTTTTTTTTTACTTGCTGACTCTGCAAACAGATTGTGAGTCCTCCCTGCTGGATTAATGAAGGATGTAGGAATGTGTAAGGTTGGCTTCAGGCAGAAGTATCTGGCCAAACCTGACAAGTTGTCTATGTATGAAAGCAAAAATACAGAGAACAGTAAACTTGCATCTGTCTCTTCGTTTTATTTTATTTTATTTAAAGTTAAGAAAATTGTAAGCAAGAAGTGAAGGCAAACCAGTGCTCCAAAATGCACCTGGTAGAACTTTGCACCCTGTAACTTTCATGGCTAGGAACCTGAAACCTGATTCAAGTGTAACTGAGGTTGTAATATCAGTCTTCAATGGAAACATTAGCTGTCTGGGGTATATTTTGCCTTTAATTCATATATTATGAATATATCAATAAGCTAGGAATATTAATTCCTAGTGCAACAGTGTAAAGTAAAAAGCATGGATGGATCCATTTAATCTTAATTTTGAAACAGAATTTGGATCCTTGAAATGTGCTGAGTTAAAATAGCAGTATCATCACTGGAGAAAGAACTTCAGAACCAGCAAAAGACCCATGAGAGAAAATGTCTTAATGGAATTTATAATGATGAAATACTTTCCATATCTATTTTGAAAATTAATTTTAAAGGTAGCAAGACTCAGCCACTGAAATAAAAAAAACCTGTGCTGTTTCATGACACTGGCTTGGAAGTCTTATGAGGCCTTGTAAAAAGCAAGAAAGAATTTCTGCAGAAAAAGCTCAACTACCAGAGTAGCACTGAGCCAACTTCAATCAATACAAGGCTAGAAGGAGCATGGGCACATTTAATGCTAAAATCACCTGCACATGCCCACAGGTGTGATGTGGTCACCACAAACAGGACCAAGATTCAGGGAGATGTCTCTTAAGATTTTTCTTTTTTTGGTATAAATAAATCTTTTGGTTTTTAATTAAACTGGCATAAATAGCAGAGGCCAGCAGTTCAACAAAACTATTACATTTCACCTGGCAGTTAAGATAAAGCACAAAAGCAAGCAGTGCTGTTTAGGGGTGGGAGTGATTTTGTATAAGCTTAATTTTATGACTGTGGTCAGTGCAAACCTTTTTTTTTTTCCCAACGTAGATACATGGCCAAGAATAACCACATCACTATTTTAACCACAGCAGGTAGAGCTACCCTGAGTAAATTAATCATTTACTACTTGGCAAATATAATGTACTGGATGTCTAATTAAGCTTGAAGTTAATGTTTCTTTTGACAAAATGAAACTCCCATTCTTCATTCTGTGGGAGTTTTGTTTTTGCACTTGCTGTTCACTGGTGGTAAGAGGCTTCAAAACTGAAAATGCTGTAAATGTCCCTAAAATATTCTGGCAGTTTGCCTCACCTATGGCAATGGGTGACAAACTGCAGGGACAAGGAATTCAACATATTCCTCCTTTCAGTTCCTTGGATTTCTGCAGGAGTTGCAGCAAGGATGTGGAATTGCCAGTACTGGAGGTGCAGGATTTTGTGGTGTGAATGATCATGGGCAGCAGCCTGGATGCAGGCCAAATAAGTCATTTCATGTGTGCCAGGAAGCAGCCTTCAGAAGGCAAGAGCTTTCAATTGCTCTCAGCCTGGATTAGTTTTAAACAGACGTACTCAATGTGTGGAACACATTACCTTGACTAATTCCTGGCTATCCAGATCCTGGTCAGTAATGTAGTTTTATAAAACGCATTCCCTAGTTTTCAAGTGAGCTTCAATAAAGGTTCTAAAAATAAGTTTACACCAGTGATGCAAGAGAAGTTCTATTACATGCTTATCATTTACTCTTCCACAGAGGTGGCTTCCCAGCATATGGAGTATTTCCAAGGAATGAAGCAGACTGGTTTGGCAGACCTGAAGAGCCTGAATTAATTCACTGATTTGAGCATTTGAACACTGCTGATACGGAACAGCACAGCCAGCAGCATAAAGGTAAGGCTGTTCAGCCTGAACATAGCAAGTTCTTGACTTCATACTTTTTTCAGGCCCTTGAGCTCTTCATTTAAATTACCTGTGGTATCAGTTAGTAGTAATTAATACATGGAGATGGAATGATGGATTTTATGCAATCTAAAGCGTCTGTGTTAAAAGCTAGTGTCAGCTAGGAATTAGTATTAAAAGTTTGGTGTTCTGTGTTAATTACCAAGATAGTTCTTTTAAATATGATAAAGTTTAAAAACTAAGAGCTCAAAAACTAGGTTCATTCTCTGCATTGATGTACCTGTGTAGGTGTGCATTTGGGAAGGGGAGTCAAATTTAGGGCTCATCATACCTGCTAGTGGTTTTATCTGAAGCTCATTATAAGTAATTAATTTCACAGTTACTCGGTTTCTTATTGAATAACTCCTCAAAGCTACAGCCTCCTTCTCCCTCAGATGTTGCTCAAACTGATATTTCATATCCTGTTATCTTGAAGTCACTGTGTAGGACAGAGCTGCACTGGCACGTCTGGGGGCAGAAGAGGCAGAGATCTGCCACAGTGCAGCCTGCCCTCTGCAGGCAGAGGAACTCTACCTGCAGAATGCTCAGAGTGGCAAAACTGGTGCTGGGAGGCACCTCCTGTTCTTTCCTCTCTGATCTATATCAGCCCCTTTCAATCAGTTCATTACTGCCCATGTGGAACAGGGCTCAAGCATGTTCCCTCCTCTCCAGGAGAGATTTTATATTTATTTGACACCATTTTACTTCTGACATAGGAGTGGTACACCTGAGCATTGCTGCCCGCTATTCTGGGATCACAGGGAACGGAAGGAAAAGCTGCTCAGTCCTTTCCCTAACCCATATATTTACTGGAGCAGTAAGTACAAGCTACAAGCCCAAGTCTGACAGTAAGTGTGTAATGTTTGGAACAAGGGGATTCATTAATATCATTTATATGTTGTACAACCGTATGAATTGAGCTGAGAACAGAGCCCCTAATTGGTGCAGATTTCACAAGCAAAGGCTAATAAAGTGATTCAGAATAAAACGGAATTGGGCATCAATATATACACTTACAATTACTGTCTCATCATGTTGCCTGAAATTCTCTGTCTGCAAAAACTGGAGCACTATTTAAATAATAAAATGAAAAAAAACTAGATTTCTCTCTTGGACAGTAAGTATCAGTAACTTCAACATGAGAAAAACTCTGTCACACAACTAACTCCATGCTGGAAGTACTGATTCTGCCATTTCTTTCCCTGCTTCTGACTTTGGTTTCAGATAGGTAAATTAAAAATTAATTCCTCTGCATTCTTCCGGATAGGAATCCCAAGCATGGGAAAGGTTAGATGTACCTGAACTCCGTGTTTCTTTTCTAAGATAATCAATTAGGGAAAAATACACAAAATGCAGTTCAAGTGCCGTGTTTGCAAGATAACCCACACATTAATATGGCTTTTTCTGGCCTTCATGGCTACACGCTTACCTCTGGGGTCAACGCATTGTTATCTGAAGTCTGACTTGACAGCAAAATATGCGTGAAACCATATTCTTTCCGGACTACAATGTCCCTGAACCGGCAGTTACTTTCATTTTGACGCACGCTGTATCTTACTCTCTTATCGAAGACATAATCTTTCTCCCCATCTAGTTTCCTTTTCACAGTGCTGTGTAGATTCAAGCTTCCATTGGCCAGAGAAGAACCTTTCAGATGGAAAGAATCAAAGCACAATTATGTCTCAGTCTTGGAGAAATGGAACTATACTTTCTATTGGCTTAAACACTGTTCAGTATTTACAGTACCCTCTACATGATAAATGTGATAAATCAAAAATGTGCCTGGCTAGTTATATGTAGCCGCAAGCCATTCTTACTGTATTCCAACATGCAGTACTTTTTGTTGGCGCATCAGACAATTGAATTGTATAGCATGTACCACTGGGACCGTTGATGGGATTCAGTTCTGCTTTGAAAAAGGACTTTGAAAAGTGATTGTATCATCTGAATTTGGGGTGACCAGGTTTGAAGAAATATGACAGGTTTAGCCCAAATCCCTTCTTTCAAAAGGTACATCTTCTTTCTCTCACAAAGGCCAAAAAATCATTATCAAGTTCAAGTGACAACCGGAATACGCAGCTGTGGCACATCTCCATGTGTCACACAGAGTAAGTTAGGAGAGTTCTTACTAAGCTGACATAACCAGGATTCTCTTTCACTTACCCTTGTGTTAGTGTTAGAAGCAGCCATCCTCTGCTCTCACCCCAAGCTTCTGCTCATTACTTTTACATGAACAGTAATTGCTGACTTTTGACTAATGGGTATGATATCAACAGTGGATTTTGTATATAGGAAATATTAGTGCTGATGCCATTTCTAGAAGGTACTCAGCACTATGGAAAAAGGGGAACTATGACAAAGAATATACAGTTCCTCCTTAAAAACTAATGAGTTATAGTACATCAATTTTAAAAGACAATTTATTCTGACTTACGCTGTGTATGAGCTGTAAACTATTACTCTGCTTATGTTTACAGTTTCTCTCTAATAGGCAATATATAATGATTGTTAACAATGCTGAGCTGGAGTGTTGAAAACATCTCTACAAGATTTTTATGCAACGCTCTTTTTCTAATTACAGATGTTTCATGCTATTGCCATGAAAAATAACACAGAGGCAGGTCATTGAGGAACTGAGATTAAAGTCAGTCTGTTCATTGAAACAGTTTCGATGAAGAAAATTATCCCAGCCAAACCCAGCACATTCTCCAAATCTGTTGTTTAAACAGACAAAAGCCCAAGAGATGCTGTATTTAAGAAAGGCCAAGAAAGAGCTGAATGAAAACACCTTTGTTTGTTTTGTTCTTCACTCCTGCCAAAGCTGACCTATTCTAGCTTCTGGAATGAAATAGCCAGGAGCTTCTGAAGGGCAGATGACATGAGTATTAGAGCACAGATATAATTTAAATGACCACGATCCAATTAAAAATGCTCTTCTGGAATAAAAATGGAGAATTCGCAACAGATTACTCTCCAAAATCACTTACCCTCATTTTAGATTAGCTATTTTTCCACTTCATGTTTATATAGGTACCTGAAGTGTCTGATACCTCTCAGCTGGCAATGGCCCGTGGAATTGCTCATAGTGTGTGAAATGCCTATATATACACTGCAGTTATGATATGTGATGCTAAAACACATAGTATGTTTAACGGTATTTCCCTGGTGCATCATTTGGCCCCATCATGTAACATATACATGTGGGTACACATATATTTACACACAGAAACTCATGTTTGTTAAAAAGTCTGCTATTTCAATCACAAAACTCTTTTTCATTGTTAAATTAACAGATACCATCTAAAGCACTGCCTGCACTACACTGAATAGAGGATGCAACTTGTGCCATACAAATATTGACAAATTATATCAGATCACCTATTTGAAAAAACATCATTTGAAGCCAGCAGAATTTGAAATTTTTTTCCAATTATCTGCAATGGTATGAATCACAATGTGCTTGAATTTTTAAAATTTTTAATAATTTATTATTTTTCATAAGGTTTTGCTACGGCATATATTTTGACAAGTATTCCTACACACAAAAATGGACTTGTGAAATTACTAATGGAAAACTAGTATAATTGGGAATACACTGAAGCAAATTATTAACTGAGGCAGACTTTTAAATACTGTACTTTTATCTATTCAGTCTTTACAGTGTTGCTTGATCCAGGAATAAGCTACTAAGATGTGAAGAGTTAAATACCCTAAAAAAGTGTAAAGAATGTACAAAATCAAAGGCACACATGAACACTGAATGGAGGATGTATTGACTATCTACCTACTGTTAAAGACTGTGCCCCATCTATTTTAAATACTGATGGGAAGAGAATAGTGAAAGATTAATTCTCACAGATAATCCAGCTCAACAAAAAGCGCCATAGTAATAATTTTAATTTTTCTTGTATTCTTTGTTTGAGATATATATTCAGTTTGTGAATTAACGTATGATGCAAGAAACTATAGATCTTGTCACAGTACTTTAACTATCTGCATGCTAACTGGCCAGAGGAAAGATCTGAATTTAATAGGAGAGAAAACATGAATGGAAAAAGTGACATTCCTAAGAATGGATGATCAACATACAGTGAGTAAACTGTTGTTTTGGTGTATACAGTAAATCCCTGTAATCTTGTTTGATCTGGCAAACTGGAGAAAATGATCAGCAAAACCTAAAGACAAGACTCATGTGAAACCAGGCCCATTGAGCATGTCTGCATGGATGTGATGGAGCTTGAACCATGAAAGCATTGTCCACATTGTCTCTGCATAGCACCTGCTTAATGTGCACAAGGGTGACAGTACCTTAATATGTCAAGATAAAAAATGACTGGGACATAAGGGAAAAAGAGACATTCTCAAAGCAATCCATACTGCATCTGAAACAAATTAGGGTGTCACAAATTAACTACGGAAGCTTTAGGTACCTCTAAGTCTGGTTCACTGGCTGAGTATTAAGTATTTGACAATCAAAGTATAAAAAACCCCCAGAATGTGTGAAAATATTCCTTCATTTAATGAGATTTTAATCTAATTATTACTTGACTTTAATCATTAGTAGAAGTCATGGAATATCTAAACCAACACTGATATTTTGAAGAAGCTTCAATACTTTTTAAAGGCACATAAGACACTCCCACACCACTGGTGACTCTAGTAATCTAAGAAGGCAGTAAAGGATGTTAGTTAAGGAGAAAATGCAAACTTGGACACTTTCTGCAGTCCCTTCTCCTAGTATCATCCCTAAGTGGTGTACAGGAATAGGACAGGATTCATCCTTCCTTTTTCCTTCAGTATTTGCTCATGGACCTTTTCATGGATTTCCCTAATCCCCTCTGAGTCTGCTGACGCTGTCTGTCTCCACAGCTTCCTGTGGTATCACTTTGAGAAGTTGTGCAGCCGCTACACAGAGAAGAATTTTCTTTGATCTGTGCTCTTATCTGATATTCTACCAGTTTCAGTGAGTGGTCCTTAGTTCTGCTAGAGGGATCTAGTGAACAACAGTTTTGTATTTACTTTATCTGAGGCCTTGATGACTTTGTAAACTTTGATCATACTCCCCTTCAGACTCTCCCCTTGCCTAACTGAAGCCTCTTTTATTCTTGCAATCCTCGTCATTGTAGCTGCCCGTTCCTGTACCTTCTCTAGTATTCCACCACTGTCAAAGAGAACAACAACGAATGACGTTACTGCTGCTGCCGCTGTTGGTACTAGAAAGAGTCTGAAGACTCCAGATCAAGTCTGAGACTGGGGCTCCATTATACTGGACAGAACTTTATGGTCAAAACAGCTGAGGCAGAAAGTAGGAGGGGAAGGGGTGAAAAGATGGCAATGAGCCTCAGATCACTCAATGCTTTAGTGGACTTGGATCTATCCATCTCCTTCCATTGCTTCTACCCAGTAAAAAAGACACCTCAAGCTACTGTTATTTTCAGATACACCTTTTCTTTCTTAGCATTGACTGCAGTCAGATTAATGGAGCAGTCTGTGCCACCTCCTACACAGTGGTCCTTGTGCTGGTACCAGCGTCTGGGTAAGCAGCTATACAGCGAAAAGACCTGATGAACTGTTCTGGCTGTAAAGAAACCCATGGTTAATTGTTGAACAGATCAGATCCACCTTGTAACCTCTGGAGTGCTATAACCAGTGCAGGGGAAGGATGGGAATAACGATCAGGTTATCACAGGAAGGAAAGCTGGACTGCTCCTTTTGTTAGCAGCACACATTCATGGTGAATGAAAACCATCATGGAGCTAGGGCTTTAATTTTTCTAAGTGAAATAAACCATGCTCCCTTACTCTCCCTGATAAAACAGCTTGGCATTCCTCAGTCTTCCCAATAGTTTTTCTCTGTCTCCTTCCTGTCTTTCTTGTGGGCAATGGTTAATACTGTACATACTTAAGCGCAGTGTTCTGTTGATAATTTAGTAATAATTTCAGACTTCTCCAGCTAAGTGAGCATCTGTAAGATATCTAAAAGCAATGAGTTTTGATCCAAACTGAGAAAGCAAGCATATTTGGTTGTCTTTTACTGCCCGTACTGCTCCAGAATAAATAAAAACAGAACAAGCTAAAAAAAAAAACCAACCAAGAGGAAGCAGTGACTAAGTTCACTGACAGTATTTAAAATAAGGGCACCATGAGACTACAAAGATTTTCGTAATGGAGAAAAAGAGTGGTTAGTGCTACATGACAAGCAAAAATTCTTCAGCAGATGGCACAGAGCTATGTAGAAAAAGGAAAGAGAAAATTAAAATGGGATGTTCTTTGATGCCGTAAGAAACTTTACAAAACAATCACTCTCCATTACAATATCTGGAGAAACAGAAATGTGGTAGCAGGAGACAACAAATATCAGAAAGAACAGTATTGTTAGCTCCTGGGTTATTGTTAGCCCTGGGTATTGTTATCATCAGTGGGTGCTTTCCCCTAGAGTTTCCCCACATTTTCCAATTCACAGACTTTCTTAAAACTGTTGGTAAAGATGAATCTACTCTCCTTAGGATGGGATGTGTAGAAGGCCAAGAGAGGTTTTGGTAAGAAAGGTGTGTCAACTTAAGCAAGGTTCCAGGCCTCAGCTGCGGTGCACATATGATTTTGTGCATACATCTGTAGGTATACACTCATCTTTATGGGTTAAACAACTTACTGGTGAGTTTTATCTAAAGGTTGAGGAGGAAACACTTGTACCCAAGTGGATATATATGCAAAACCAAGCACAGACTGGTGGAGGCCCATCCAAGAAATCATCAAAAATTAAGTTTTCAAATAGGTACTGTTTGTTTCAACAGAACTGGGATACCACAAACTAAATAGATATATTTTGATTAGTTATAGTTCATAAATTATTAATTATGATTAATACAACACTGGCAGCAGAGCTGGGCCTACAGCTGGGTTTTCAAACTGTGAGGTATTTTTGTTTTCCAAATCTAGGCTTCATCTTAAAATTCCTATATGCATTTTCTGTGCACTCTCACATGCAGCTGTGAAGTGAGTCTGACATTCACTTGGGCTCCTTACAGGCAATCTCAAAGCTGCCACAAATGTCTGCTTCCTCACATTCTGCCTGGGAGCCACAGCTTCTGGTAGTCAATCCCAGGTCCTCCAGGCTCTTTGTTCTACATACAGTGCCCTGGAAGCATTGATGGTGCATGCCAGGCTTTCGAGTTCCAGACTCTGTGGCAGACTGCCTGAAACCTCTGGCATAGCTGGCTGCCTCAGAGAGAAGTGCGGCAGTCCTGCCAAGCAGACTGCCACACTGCTCCTGCTCTCAAGGGACGAAGCTTTGGGACCTTGGCTTGGATTTGGAGCAAGTTTTGGAACTCAGAATGTTTGGAAAAACCTTCTGTTATTCAACAAATTGGCACTTTCCTCTGAAACTTTCTTCATTTGTCATGTGTAAAATTTCAGAGCACTTCTAGTGTGACATCTATCCCAATGACAATGAGTCTGTGATACTAACAGGACACGTGGCAGAATCACAGTGGCATCTTCTGTGCTCAGTATTCACATTCCTTTGGAGTGTGAATACTGAGGGAATTCAGTAAACTGTTGGGCTTGTTGAAGAGTAGTGCAGGTTTCTTCAATTTGACATTTCAAATGATGCAAAACCCTGTATCAGAAAATGTTACTTCTCTCAAATTTGTAGGACAATATTAGGAAAAACCCTAGTATTTCTATTTTGACCCTTCTCCACCAGTTTCTGCCTGCTCTTCCTTTGGTAGTCTCATCTCTCTTCTTTGTAGTTTTTCCCACTATGCATGTGATGGGTATCACAAAGCAGGACTACAGGGACTTCTGACCTTGGGAGTGCTGCTGAGTATAGGCTTTTCAGATGAGAAGCAGGTAGGGATTTAAAGATCTCTTGCTATTGCCTACAGGGAGGCCAGAATGCAAGAGAGAAAGAGCAGAATACAAAAGAGATGTGATGGATTTGGAGAATGCAAAAGCCACCATAAAGAAATGTTTTAGAGGAGGTGCATATACCAGCTGTTAGGCCAGGAACATGTCTCTGTGCCTGGCAGAACACCTGGCTGCTTAGTTAAAGCAGCCTTCTGATGAAATAGAGCAGTTTTACAAAGCTTACTCAAACAAGGGCTGGTGGATGCTATTTGTGAGCTCTCTTGGGGACAAATGAAAGGCTCATTTCACCTTAACGGTTTTCTGTGACCCTCAAGTCCTTCATTAAGAAAAAAAAAAAAGATATTATAAAATATGGCAATTAATGCATTTTAAAGATGCATTTTGTATTAGAACTTCCATGATGAATAACACAAAACAAATTATTTAAAAATCTTCATTAGAAACAGTAAGAAAGCAGAGAAAAATAACCTTACACATATCTGTAATCAGATATACAAGTCATTTTAAGGAAGCAGGTAGCTATTTAAGCAGTCTTATACGAGTTCAAACTCATCAAAATACAAAAGCTTGCACTCTCAAATTTAAGTGTCATAGACATCATCAGGGGTACTTCCGCATTTAATGCTGACCGCACATTTTGCTGGCTTGGGATTCTTTAACAAGGTATTTGACATCTGGATTGAAACATCCCAGCAATCACAGGATGTAGCAAGTAAGATCATACAAGGTCAGTTCTACTTCCTGAATCAAGCAGCATTTTCTAGGTTGCCAGTAGGGTGGAAAATGGAAATTGGAGTGATATAATTTAAGTCGACTTTTGAAGTTTTTGGCAGGGCAATTCACAAGAAGCTGTCAGGGAAATGAGCACTATCATGGGCCACAGAAAGTGGATAATAAAAATAAATAATTGGAACAAATGCTTACTTTTCACCATGTCAAATGATTATTAGTTGGGTGCCCCAAGGACCTGCAGAAGGATTAGTTTATTTAATATATGTATTAATGAACTGGGAAGAGACGTATGAGAAGAAAATCTGAAAGGAATACAAAATCAGTAGAGTAAAAACTAGGAAAGATTTTGAAGAGCTTCACTGAGTCATAAGAAAAAGGTGAATTAGCAACAGTAAAGTAGATTAAATGCATAATGAAAAGAATCATACATATAGCTGGGTTCCAAATGAACTGTAACCAGCAAGGAAAAAAATGTCAGAGCAACTGTGTATCACTCAATAGAAACCTTTATGAAGTGTGTAACAGCAGAAAAAAAAAAAAAAATCCTCAAAAGGCTGAATCGCAACCGTATCAGTAAGCAGTAGGAAATCATTTGGTACAGCTCCTGCTGTTTTTTAAAAGGCATTAAAAAAACCCTCCGCACACCAAAGGCACAAGATACTGAAAACTACCAGGAACCTGGAAAGACCTCCACATGGTAGACAGGCTAAAAAGGCTGTGGCTGTGAACTGACTGACAGGACATCATCCACTTTATCCCTTTGTGTAAGGACAAGAGCTTATGCAATGAAAGCAAAGGTTAAAATAACCCCAAACAATCCCCCAGACCCAAGAAACTGACCAAATAAAATGTGCATCTCATTGTCTTAACTCCTGGAGGCTTTAAATTTGGTAGGATTTAAAAAAAATCCAAAAAACAAAAAACCAAGATTGGACACATATAGATAATGAGAAGCTACTCAGTTGCATTAAGCTGAGTAGTATATATAGAGAACATAAACCTTTATTCCTTAAGAACTAAGATAATCAGCAACCATGACGATTAGAAATTTCTCCCATTTCTTCTCATTCACTTAAGGGTTTTTTGTACGTTCCCACAAAGTATGAATGTGACTTCTGATATGTCAAGTCACTGTCAGAGACAAGAACCTGGCAGTTCTGAGTACTCTTGAATATGAGGAGCACTAATACTGAGGAACTTGAATGTTACTCATCCACACTTACCAGGATACTTTAGGAAGAGTGGTATTAATACTGTTTCTAAAATAATCCTGATCTTTGGAGACCACTGTGTCTGAGCACACATAGCTGAGAAGTGATTTGTTACTTGGTGATAGACAAACCCAGTTGCAGTATTATACATACCTCAGTGATGACTTGTCATCATTTCCCCAAAAGGACTTTCTACTCCAAAAGCACATAATGAAGCCCAATCTGCTTCATATCCCTCCATGGGAAACGAAAGGAGAGAAGCAAACTGATAAAAAAAGGTGTAATACATAGGGAAAGAGTGTGACAGTGGTTTAGATGCTTCTCACCATACCACTTGTGTAGCATGACAATGTGGGATATCTATTTGCAGTTGCTGCAATTAACACCCCCCGCCCCTAAGACTGTAGTTGTTTAAATCACATACCAGTTCCATTCACAACAGGCGAATCATTACTAACTTCCAAAACGCTGGCCAAGTTTTGTTCTCCTTCATGTTCATTGGAATCCATGTTTTGCTGTTGTGAGCCATTCCCAAAATGTCTAGAATCCTTTTCGTGACTACCATCTCCATTCTGCAGACCACTGTGTGGCTTTTTCAGTGGCATAATCTGTAAACCGCTGGGAGTAGTTCGGTAAGTCACAGTTTTAGCAGCCCTGTCATTAGCAGATGCTGGCTTTGCTGTGTATCCCCTTTTCTGTTTTTGAAGAGATGGGTTAATTCTCTTCCTTTTGTGTGCTGACCCTTTAGACTTCCCAGTTTCAGAAGGTCTGTGTGGTATTTTCTCAAGAGATGACCCTCGGCTTTCCCGTAAAAACTTAGGAGCCTGTTTCCCATGTCTGGATCGCTTTTCTCTAGAAACATGTAGTCCATTGAACTCATCAATAAATTCCTCACAATGCAGTAGATGATGTTCAGGTTCCCAGGTGTCTTCATTGCTTCCGTAGCCTTTCCACCTGATAAGATACTCCCATTTGCCCTTCTTGTTCTTTCTTCTGTCTACAATCCTCTCTACCTAAAAGAAAAATACAAAAGTATGTTATTAGAAAGAAAAATAGTCTGGACATGTAAATGGTACTCTTCTGCAGCTGACTGCTGATGAGAACCTGCTTGGTGTGTAAACTGTTTGACACAACATTTAGGAATTTGCGTCGCATGTTTCTGTTCAACAGAAACTCCCATCAACAGACCTGGCAATACAAGGGAGGAATGCAGTAGCCCCAGTGGTGTTTTGACAGCAAAGCCATATCCCCTTCTGAAAGCATTAAGGAGAGACATAAAACATCTGATCAAACCTAATCTGGGAACCTGCAATAGCCACAATGTGAAGAAACAAAAGAGAGACAGTAGATCATTTATGAAAACATGATTTCCTTGTAAATCTGATCGTAAAATGAGACTATTAAGCTACCTCTTATTTGGAAGAGCTAAAGCAAGCATCTTTTGCTATACTGCGAGTTACTGATCATTCTCCTGAATCCATGCAATCATTATGTCCCTATAAACATCCCTGTACTCATTTTTTATAAGTGCAATATTTGAGTAAATCAACAAAATTTGTGAGTGCACCAATTTAAAAGAAAAAAAAAAAAGGCAAATAAAAGGCATAAAGGTAGGATTCTTTACAGAAGTAATGAATTTCAAGAACCTATGCTAGAGAAATGTCAGTTTAAGGAAAATTTCTGCAACAAAGGATAAAGGGCTATATTGGGACTGCAAGCTGAATGTGAATTAACAATATCATGCTGCTGTGGAAAACGGCCTGTACAACTGAAGAAATATTTGTACCATCTCAGCACTGGCAAAATCTCAACTACAGGGAGACTGCATATGAAAACCCAAGCACAGTAAGTGGACAGCAAGTCATGGGTTTAAGTTGCATCAACTGAAACTTGATCAAGATATTAGGAAAAATGTTTTAAAGGCACTAAGAATAAGCATGAGAACAGGTAACATGGAGAAGATATACAGGGGTTTTAGAACAAACAGTTTTTGTTAGACAAATGTCTGCCACGAAAAGTCATTGCTGGAAAATCAGGTTATGATGAGAAGTGATCTTTGATGTCTCTCCTAAGTTTAATTTTCAAATTCTGCATTTTTTTTTAAGATGTGGCTTATACGAGATAAAGATACCACTAATAATAAAAAAATCATTATCATTAACCAAAAGCACTACTGTTAGTTTAGAAAAATAAGTGGATAGTAAATGCAATAGCTTTCACTACTCTTCAAAGAAAAATCATCTCATGTGAAGAACAACAGTGGAATGTGTACAGAGAATTTAACCTTGAAGAAGGGCAATCACAGCAGTGTGAGTAATTGTTCTTTTCAGGTCCCCTGTTAGAGCAAACCAATGGATTAATTCTGTCTGTTCACTCGCTGGAGCTATACGTTCATAGACATCTTGGTGGGTTCCCCAAAGGAGGCTAAATGTAATTAGCAACTAAACATTATACTTCCATCTAAATTCATTTACATGGGAACTGTGCTAAGATATCTGTGTCTGAGTCATAGTTGACAGCTTCCTTTTTACTCTGAATTTAGCAAAGTCCCGTTCAGAATTGCTCAGTGTGGCAAAACAATTCACTGAAGCTCAGTCCAGGCAAGCTTGAGATCATTTGTCTGAAAAGAGGGAATAGTCCTCACCAAAAAAAACAACTGTCATTATTTTTTGTCCTCATTTGGGATGTGTGGCTTTCAATTGTCAACTAATAGACTTAGTATGCACTTGCTGACTTTACAGGGAGCAGCTGTCCAAACGATCCCTGGTTTTGAAATACTTCTCATCCTCCTACCTGGAACTAACCAGGAAGACTATACATTGAACTGTGGAACTCTGCAGTGGCCTGTGGGTTGTCTGTGGATTCGTTATTTTAATTACTCCAGCTCACTATACCAAGGAGCAAAACACATATGTGTATGTTCTGGGGAAAACATTAAATTGATGCTAAGCTCAGCAGACCACAGATGTCATTACTACAGAGAATTAGGGTTTGTGCTATTCTGTCTATACTAGCTGAACAACACATGCATTCCCCTCCTCTTTTAAATCAGAAGTTTGGAGATGAACACCATCTCTGCACTGGGCTGATGCTACCTTGGAGTAACCTGTCTTTCTCTTGAGGGATTACAACAGTTGCATTCCCCCACTTGCTCACTGAAGGAAGAGCCTCAGGAAGGACAAATACCTTGACATTCCAGAATCACACACAGAAAACATCTCTTCAACATCACTTTTTTTTTTTTTCACTCATGCAGGCATCTTTAATTATACTGATTTCTTATTTTCATGTTATTGCTCTACTACAAGGAGGAAAAGTGAAGGCAAGAGGTTCTACGAAGAGCATTTTTTTAATACGGAAAACACTCAAGTATTTTGGTGCTGAGGCATTATGCACTGCAATTAAGAAAAAAAAAAGGAGGAAACATGTCTTTGTTCCTGGGAAACAAAATACTGGCAATGGACACTGTGATTAATCAGTTCAACGCATCACAAAGGGAGAATAAAAGTATTTATGAAATTGTGTAAAATTTAATAAATGGTTTCAGAAATGCATTTGGAAAGCAAATATATTTGGGAAAGACTAAGCGTTTTATTACAGCATTTCCAGAACAAAACTATCAATGTTTTACTTCAAATTTAACTAACACAACTAAAATAAAGAGGGACTAAATAAACAAAACAGAATGTTTTATTTCTGGTCAACCTTCTTTTCAGTTTATTGTTCTGCTCAGCAGAAAATGAGAAAGAAACGTGGGTTGATCCAAAATTGGTTGTTTTCCTTGAGTTTTTTTGTTCCATCATACCCACTGGCTTGACTAATGATGCAAAAAGAAGCTGAGTAGGCATTTGCCTTACCCTCATTACCACCTCATTGTTCATTACTGAATGCATTTGAGGGTAGCATCAAAGATTCTTGACCTCTCAACATGGTCCCTTTTCTTTCTTAAGGGTTTAAGTTCTTCATTGATATTATCCCCTTCAAAGTGCCACTGTGCTCCTTCACTGCATGCAGTGAAATGCTTCAGTGTTGGCATAAATATCAGGGTTCTATCCACACCTGGTATTGCCTGGCCCATTTTCCTTCTATTCACAGTCCACATTAATAATAAACATCATTAATTTGTTTTTCTAATGATGTGCATTTAACAAGCAGTATGCATAAAGTAATAATCCTTCTGCATTTACTTAAGGTTACACAAATTCATGAGTTTTCTTAATGAGAAAAGTCCTGTGACAGCTACCGATTAACAGAAATAATACTTTACTCCCTCCCTAGAATAAGGAATACATGGTTCTGAGACCATGCAGAAAACATCTATGGCTTCAGTGTCTGACTTTCGATTTCCCCCCTCAGTTCTGCCTTTAATGAGAACTGAATAAGGGACCTTGGTATTTGCAGTTTGCAAGATCCTGGAATTCACTGTATTTGGTTTGGAAAATTAAGTAGCTGCATTTAATAAAAGTGAAATTACTGAAAACAAAATTTGCAGGGGGATCACTGTTAAAAAAGTGCTAGGATTGACAGATGTCATTACTTGCCTATATTCTCTCTCTCTCCCTGCCCCTCCTGGTTAATTCTGGATGAGTTAAGGTGCTGGTAGGTTACCATATAGATATGTTTAAAGAGAACAAACAGAACGAGACCATGGCATCTGTGCAAGTGCATTTGGAACACATTTTTCAGCTTCCAACTAGCTTTAAACCTAGCTTTATGCACAGCTGCACAAACTGGGGTGAAAATTGAAATAAAAGTCTTTTTTTAAAAAAGGTATTAAAACTTAATGTGAAACAAATCTCCTAATAACTTAAGTATAAATATGTAATCATCCAAAACTTAGTCTTGTGCTTTTATATGCAGAGTACAACACACACACATCTTCAGAGAGGATTCAGGGTCAAAATCACTCTTTAACACCACAGTGTTATTGTCCATTTATAAGGAAAGAAACCTGGACTAGTTAAAAAAGGGTAAGTCCTATTCAATTATTTCTCAGATATAACTGCAAAGTCGGAGCAGAGTATGCTTATTTCACCGACCACAGCTCTAAAGAGCATAAAAAAAATCCTTATGCTCAGAAAACACCTTCGAGGAGACAGTGAACTTCCAGAAAGGTTTGGAAGTCTGCGTATCTACTTAATGACTTCCATAGTAAGTACATGTCATCTCTTCTTGCCATGTGCATCTATGTAAACAATTTAAACTGTAATCTGTGATGCTCGGATGGTGTCTCAGTGCACTGTACAGAGCAGCAGGCCAACTTCATGACATACACTAGAAAAACTGCTTTTCATTACTGTAAATTACAGGACTTGTACTGTTTCACGTGTTTTTTTCATTGAAGGTCTTTGTCTCATTTTGTGCCTCAGGGTGCTGGAAGGGTATTTGAAGAGAGTGCCAAGACAAAAAAGGCAGCAAGATTTCTGAGGGAGATAAGGCCATCTGATTCAACGTTTGTCTTTAAAAAAAATTCATTAGTGCCCTAACTTCTTCCTTTTTGTTATCTTCGCTTTAAGAAATAATGTACTTCACTAGTTGTAAATCGCTTGCTTGCATTTGTAACTTATTTGTTTCCCTCATATTTGTATTTAATTTCTCAAAATCTGGTAAACGAAGCATTTCTTCCACATGTACAAAAAATATGGCACTGTATTTTCTGAAGCAGTCAGCATTCACTTTAAAAAAATAATAATGGAATGGACGCTCTCTCCAGACTCTTGACCCACAGTTTAAAACTAGAGTAGATTTAATCAATGTACTAGTGTTGAAAACCCCCAGCAGTGAATTTGTGGAGTTACCTGGTAGGTCAAAATGAAAGCAAAAGGGGTAGCTAGTCAGAAAAATGAAAGACATTCCTCATTCAAATAATTCGCAAGCAAGCCATCAAATGCTGTCTTAGGAGGAAGTTCAGTGAACACACTCTTAATGTCAAGAAGACACTGTTTTCTATTCAGGTTCTCTTTTCTCTTTTTTAAGCATACGGATTTTTAATTTTTTACAATCTCAGAATCAG